TTTTTTTTTTTTTTTTCCGGCCAGAAATGTTAATCCCCACCCTCTCCATGGAAAAGCTACTCTGCATATGACGCATGCAGCTTGAGCTATTAGAATTAAAAAAAAAAACAACTGATGTTGTAAAAGATATAACTTGTGTGAAAAAAAGACATATATTAATTTGTATTATACTTCTTTCTAAAGATAGAGGTTTATATTGTTAAAAAATAACAGAGAATAAAAGAGGTTAAAACTTTGCAGGCCAAACTTTCTTCAATTATTTTTTCCCCAACTCAGTGGATTTTATATCAGATTTTGGCCCAGACTTTCCTAATTAAGCAGCTATGGAGCTCAAATTGATACATGCTGGTTTGTAGTGTCTAAAACTTTTGTAGGCTATTAAAGTTTAATTGTTTATTTCATACAAAATAATCTAACTCCAGTGACATCTTGGCTGAAAATGAAATGAGCTATGAAAGTATAAATAGGTGGTAAATTATATTTGCATGTTAAATGGGTGAGGGAAAGGAAGAGAAATCTTCCAAGGCCAAAGACTACATGACAATATACCAATGGGAAAACTGGATTCTTTAATGTTCAAGTCATTGTGGAGTAACCAGTGAAAAGAACTGCTTAAAGCACAGTGAGTAATTGTACTGAACATGCACCAAAGCCAGTGATTCAGAGTGATCCCAAAGGATGAAGTCACTGTTGGCAAGTTTCAGCTTAATTTTTAGTTAATAAAAGTCTGCCCTTCTCTGCAATTAATACAGATAGGGACGCAGCCAACAGCTTTGGAACTCACAGACAATTTTGTTTGTGGTAGACAAAACAGGACTTGATGGAGGTGGGAAAAGCTACAGCCATTGCCTCTAGTCTAGGGCTAATTGTACTTTTGTCCTTCCTGCAAAGATCAGAAATGAAAGGCCTTCCTTTTTCAAATATAAACACTGGTGGTGAATGGATTTCTTAAAAGCTTAGATCTGGGAACTATTATATTGCCAGTGCTACATAAAAAAAAACAGGCCAGTGGTACAGATAGTATTTGTTTGATTAAAGAAAATTTGTTTGTGAGTGGTCAGTATGGTTCTAGCTAAACTTTTCCATAATTGCACTATGTAAGACTGCATAGTTACTCTCGGGCCTTAATTTTGCTTTTTCCCCACTTTATATCTATACTCACTAGATGAGGTAACGCTACCTACCTCTCATGAAGTGGATAGTAATTAACAAATGCTTCTGCCATAATAAATTTGATAGTGTTAACATGCTACAA